TTAAAATGCTTAAATAATAAAACATTATATATAATTAAAAATTAAAGGTGAAGAAGTCTGGCAAGCTATGATATACTTGTATGAAGTATATACTTGTAAGTACTTTTTATTCATCGCTAAAAGGTTCATTCGTGGCTAACTTAATCTGAATTGAATTGAATATTTGCCATTCCTGGTAACTGTTTAAAGGTGCCTTTCTACAGTTTTAAATGAGTAGTGCGAACTGTTAAAAAAATAATAAATAACCTGATATCTGTTATAAAGAAAGAGCAATTTGTTCGAAGGTATGTAGAAGATATGGACTTCTAATACTGTAAACAGATCCAACAGTTTTGAATTCAAACTATTTTCTTTTTTATAAGTGATTTGTATTTCTCGCTAAACCGTTCTTTCGTGGCTAACTAAATCTGAATTGAGTTTAGTTGCCCGTTCTAGTAACTGTTGTAAAGTAAAGGTGCCATTCTACAGTTCGTGGTCTGGAAAACAATGCAGTAAGACTGGCAGGAAAAGCCTCCAAGATTTGTGGACATTAGTGACAATGCTGCAAAGTGGCTTTATCTGTTTTTCCAGAAACGGCTGGGGAGTTTCAATAAATTCTACGTATATATGCAGTTAAAATAGGAATTACAAATATTTGAAATTTAAACTTTGGAAATACCTTTTTGTCATGGAAAAGCGCTCGTTTTAAGCGAGAAGTGCGATTTGCGCAAAAATATGAATATGTATCAGTGGTTGCAGCAGCGGTCTGTGACTTCCGCTCCGCTTCCATTTGCTGTGAGAAATGCGAATTGGCCCAGAGCCCAGAGCTTGCACTAATTGCAAGCCAGGAGCAGACGTACGACCAGAACCTAGAGCGCGGAGTATGGAGGAGCGCCCCAATCCCTAATACACCCATACTCTTCTCGTAATGGTCTTGTTTCTTGCGCGCTCTCGCTGCAATTGCAACAAAAATTAATTACCTTCATTTTCTTTTTGGTTTTTTTTTGAGCAGCCATTCACGCGCTTATTTCAATTTTTGCCAACGTCTCGTTTACTCGCATTTTCGCATTCTCGCTTCCCCTTTCCTTTCCATTCCAATTCCTTGTATTTTGTTGTTATTTTGGATTTGTTTCCTTTTTTTAATTTTCTATTTTTATTTCGAAACCAAATTTCTTTGTGTAATGCCTCTCAGCTACTGCTCCTGGCTTTTCGTCCAGTCCCCAGCCCCCAGTCCCCAGCCCCCATCCCCTCCTCTATGTGTTGTTTATTACACTGCAACTTCCGTTACAAACGAAGATAAATTGTTAGTTTTTTGTTGCTGGTGTGTTTGTTGTTAGTTCTGTTGCGTTTTTCTGTTTGAGTTTGGCCAGCTGTTGTTGTTTGGAAAACTTTTTCAAACTTGCACAATGGCAGCATATTGGAAGTGCGTATCGAAAATTCCAGTGCACTGCAGCTTACTGCCTAAAAATTGCAGTCTACCAAGTCCACCAACTGGCTGCTTGAATAGCAACAATTGCTACCAATTCAATTGCCCATATTTCCATATTCCAAGTATGCAGCTAAAGTTGAATTCAATTGATTTTTTTTTCGATTGTATTTCGACAAATGTTACAAAAGGGTTATCAATAAGTGCAGATTAATTGATCAATTGCACTATTTTTATTTGTTTTTACATATATAGCTGTTTATAAGCAAATTATTATTAAAGTTGTACAGCTTTAAGGCAGAATTTGAAATGACTTGCATGCTTTTGAAGCCATGCATTGATTGAAGAAATATATATTTCAACTAGCACGTATTGCCCGTCTTAGTCCGGCTCAATATAACGTTTTCATTTGTATTTATTTTCTACCCACATGTTTTCACCTTATTAGTTACCAGTAGGAAGGCATTTAAGGTATTTGAATGAACATTTTCTGTTCTTGACAAAAAATTGTTCAGTTAGTCCGTTACATTTTTGTTCTTGTTACTTATACTTTTTATACCCTGTACCCGTAGGGTAAAAAGGGTATATTAGGTTTGTGCAAAGTATGTAACATACAGAGGAACATACAAGGAAGCATCTCCGACCCCATAAAGTATATATATTCTTGATCAGCATGACGAGAGAAATCGATCTAGACATGTCCGTCCGTCTGTCCGTCCGTCTGGATGAACGCGAGGATCTCAGAAACTATAAAAGCTAGAATAACCAAAGTTGGCATCCAGATTCTCCAGATTCTCTTTTTTTTTTAATTTTCCCCCCCTTCCCCCGCTACAGAATTTCGTCAATAGCGTCCACATTTCAAATGCTACCTAAACCAAACTTTGCACACATAATTTATAAATAATTATCGACTGTTGTTTAAAATTTTATTGAATTCTGTCAATTCTAAGAAAAGTTATTAGCGAAACAAATTCTCGCCAGTACAACCCCACCAAACTGCAGCAACAAGTTCGCTCTTCTTCTTCCTCTTTTTGCTGCTGCTTTGGGCGCATATAACTCAGCGACGGAAGTTTACCTGGGTACAGGGTATTACACTGTCGGGTTTGCTCGACTGTAGCGTTCTCTCTTGTTTATGCTCGTTTTCCCCCTTTGGAGCTCGAATTTTTCAAAAGCCTTTCTTAGTGCGTACCCACACTATGTTGGATACTATGTAAGGATAATTGAGTCCAAATTTTAGCCTCCTATAAGCAGTGACTTACACAACAGTGTTCGATGATCCACTGTATATACACATACAAACATATACACACATATATGTACAGATCAGATCCATTTTAAGGCGAAATAATGCGTCATAATAATGAACGTGTGGTCGACTTAATATGGCAAAAATTTTATTCCCTGTACCCTTAGGGTAAAAAGGGTATATTAGGTTTGTGCAAAGTATGTAACATGCAGAAGGAAGCATCTCCGACCCCATAAAGTATATATATTCTGAATCAGCATGACGAAAGAAATCGATCTAGGCATGTCAGTCCGTCCGTCCGTCTGTCCATCCGTCTGTCCGCAAGGATCTCAGAAACTATAAAAGCTAGAATAACCAAAGTTGGCATCCAGATTCTCCTAGGTCCGAGAAAGGACGAGTTTATTTTTTTTTAATTCTCGCCAGTACAACCCCCTCAAACTGCAGCAACAAGTTCGCTCTTCTTCTTCCTCTTTTTGCTGATGCTATGGGCGCATATACGTCAATGTCGGAAGTTTACCTGGGTACAGGGTATTTCACTGTCGGGCTTGGTCGACTGTAACGTTCTCTCGTGTTTTCTATGTAGATATGTATGTACATACAATCTATGTATGTATGTACATATGCATGCATGGGTTTTGTTTTCTTTATCTTTACTGTTTTAACCGTACGTAGAAAACCGTGTATGCGCAGTCAAGGGCGTACGCAGCTTTTTCCAAAGGGGAACCAACAAATTAAAATTTTAGTTTAATAATGCACGGTGCTTTTAAATAATAAGTTGTGCATATCATTATTTAAAAAACTTCAAGACATCCAACTCAGTTCCACTTAAAGCGAAAAAGTGAGCCATAATAATGAATGTGTCCGTTTTCCTAAATTGTTCGTTAATTTTTATTTTTATTTTTTTTTTAAATCCTTGATAGATTACATTACCCAAATTTCAAATCGATCGGACAAAATTTATAACACAAACATTTTATTTTAAAAAGTGAATAAATATTTAAACCCCAACAATTCAAGCTCCAACACAAATTTCGAAAAACCGAGTAAACAGTTTTTTTTGCATTCTTTTATAGATTATTAAAACCAAATTTGAAATTGATTGGTGGAAAAATGCGGATTTTTCAAACAAATTTTGGAGCTCGTTTTCCCCCACTTGGAGCTCGAATTTACCAAAATCCTCTCTTATTGCTCATCTACACTATGATGGGATACTTGAGTTCAAATTCAGCTTCCTAGCTCTTACCGTTTGGGCTGTGGGGTGTTGATTGTGTTTCAAATTTTCCACGGGAAAACCCCCCTTTTTTCTGCCCCAGGAAAATTGGTGAAAAATCAAGTATGCAGTGTTTTTTGAATTCTTTTACAGATTACACAAACCAAGTTTAAAGTTAATCAAATGAAAATTGCAGATTTTTCATACAATCTTTGGAGCCCGTTTTCCCCTTTGCAGTACGAATTTTCCATAATCCCTCACTTTCACTATGAGAGGGATCTTGTGTCCAATTTCAGCTTCCTAGCTCGTAGCGTTTGGGCTGTGCGTTGATTGCCCATCAGTCAGTCAGTCAGTCAGTCAGGACAAACTGTTTTATATATATAGAGATTGAAACTGAATCCCACTACTCTATGGCTGCGAGAGAAACAAAAAGGTTAAAGGAGAAAAACAGTATTTGTATGTATAGAGCACTGTATTAATTTTCTACAGATATGGGAAATAAGGTAAATATTCAAATGTTATGCCTATGTGCTATTAACAAGTGCATAGGTTTTATTTGTGCTTGTTTTTTTTTTTCTATTTAATAAATTGTTCAGCTTAAAAAATGGCGGCATAATTCGTCCCATTGTCTAAGATTGTAAGGATCATTGTACGCTGCAAAAAACCGTCCCCGTCCGCAGCTCCATTCCGTTACCGTCACCGCAAATGGTTCTACGATTCAACGATTTGTAGCGCTTCAGTTGAGCATTTTGCTTGGCCATATCCCCAGACGTTGATTAATTGTCTCTGGCCCAATGCCCATGGCCCATGGCCCCTGGCCCATGTCCATGCACCATAAATGCGTCTGTGTGTATGTAAAAATGTAATGCAGTATTTATTGTTCATTTATTGCTCATGAGTCTTAATCGTCTGCGACCAACGACGTCGCTGCCTCTGTTTCTGCTGCCGGTCTGCCTTCGCCGCGGCTTCCGACATTGACCGCAGCCCGCTAATCGCCGGAATGTGTCGAAGTCGATGCTCGCCAGCCGACCGACCGGATTTAAATTAGATAAGCGGCGCGATAGTCGACGGAAAGAGCTGCATAGCTCCCTCGGTCCGAGCGCGGCCGGGCCAGTAGAACCGACACTCGCGCCATGAAAACAACTAAAGAAATGGGAACGCGTCAACGGCTTTTTCTCGCGATCAGCTGCGTGGGACTCTTCGCTGGTTGCTGCTCAGCCGCTCAGCAGTCCGGCAACGAGCGATTGTCTGTCCCTGATATGAGCCAGTTGAATGAGATTGGTGCTCAGTACTTGCCCGGAGGCTATGCCAAGTCCAACTTCACACTCGATGATGCCAAGCGTCTGGTGCTTCAGAAGTGCCGCAAGGCCCATGAAGGCGGCGACGGCTCGCAGCGCGCCGCTGGAGACTTCAACGAGACGGCAACAACGGTGCGCCTTGAGACCGCTGTTCACCGGCTAATGGACTGCGCCAAAGATCTGGTCAACGTCACCAAGCTGCTTGAGGAGATAGAGGAGGCGAAGCCGCGCGGAGATCTCGACGAGGTCTTCGAGAAATATTGCGCCAACCTGCCGCGCGCCAAGAGCTGTGTGCACGACTTCAACGATGCCTTGTTGCCGTGCATGACCAGCGCGGAGCGTGCTCAGAACACGGTCATGGTTAGTATTGTGGACCAGCTGCTCAACTTTATCTGCATGAAGAACGGAGATCACATTGCTCTGTTCATAGCCGAGGCGGGGCCCGAGTGTCTGATGCAGAACAAGGAGCACATTGGCCAGTGCATCAACAGCACATACGCCGGCTATATGCCCAAGGAGCTGTCTGCGGCTGTGGAGCTGCCCGAGCTGCTGCTCGGCCCGCGCCAATGCCTCGATCTGCGCGACCTGGAGAGGTGTGTGGTGCGCCATGTGGAGCAATGCAGCAACATAACGCCGGCGAACATTGTCGAGTCCATATTCCGGTTTGTGCTCAAGCAGTCCAAATGCCAGGCGGAGATCGACAAGACGCTGCAACCCCAGAAGTTGCAGGCCGACTCCTCAAAGGCTGCGGCCTTGCCATGGGGCGGCGTAAAAGTGATGCTGGCGGCATCTCTGCTCCTCCCAATGCTCCTTTCAACATAACCGGCTGATTCTGTTGGCCGGAACTTAAGGCATATTCGAAACACTCAGGAAGTCGGACCAAGAGGGAGAGAGTCTTTGTGTGTGTGCGCGACTTGGAATGCTCTTGTTATTCCAAAAAAACATTTCCTTATAAATATACTTTTTTTTTTTTTTCAAGAAAAACTAATACTATATACATATGTCTCTTGTGAAGAGCGACTTTATGGACACATATAAGCCATTCATGTTATCAATAAAATACTTTCAAACGAATTTATATATCTACTTGTATGCTAATATTAGAGGAAAGAGGAAAGATTTGATTGCTTGTTTGTTTGTTTGAAGTGAAAAGGCTCCGAATCTGCTGGGCCGATTTAATGGATTCTCTTACTGTTGGGCTAATTACATTTGCAAAAAGAATGGAATCCTAACTAAAACGCCAATAATGTAACCAAATGTGTGAAAAAAATTACCTTGAAAACGCGTGAATGCTGTTAGTTCATAATCATCCTCGAAACATTGTCACTATAAATATTAAGGCAATATTATTCAAAAGCCCCCAGCCAAATAAAAGATTACAAATCGATCGACACCGTGATTAATATTGAAGACGTTTAAATGCACTAAGCCCTTCTGGACTGCAACAACTTTTTTGAGAAATTAAGGAATTGCAGGACAATTTAAGTGTCGCAACTATTATCAACGGCCCAGCAACTGGCCAACTAGCTCATATAACGAGGATACCGATGATCCCATTTGATCATTTATATGGCTTCAATTTCCGGTAGTCCCAAGGCAAAGCCTTCGAATTAGTAGGGAGCGACATACGAAACCAATGATTTACTGTATGTTGACCTATCACGGGTCGGAGCCACTGAAAATCAATTGGTTTTCTACCAAAAAATCAAATATCTTTTACAGAGAACCTCTGACCTAATAAAGAATAACAAAGAAATCGAAAAACGAACAAAAATTCAATAAAATAATAATATCCAAAATAAATTGAACTCCTTCTTAGTAACTCATAGCAAAAAGAAGGGTGCGTGTGTGTGTTTTAAAATGTATGATTTTTAATTTATTTGAGTATTTCTCCCCCAAACAGATAACGGGAAACAAAGAAATGCTTTTCAATTTTGTTGCTCAGTGTTGTGTGGGACCCAAGTGCTCTTATCATCAGCCCCATTCGTATATGTAGCGCATAGAGCGAGTCAATATTGTTTTTGAAACGCAATCACAATTCACAATCACAACAGTACTATATATGGGTCGTCCGATGTTGGGAGCGCGCCTAGCCGTCGATTTCCATGCATTTGATTATGTATATCGCAGTGGCTTGTTTTCCCAGCTGCCAACACACTTCCAATGTCAGCCATCAACAACTGATCAAGATTTGATTTACAGTCGATTATATACATACTACATATGTATATATGTACATATGTAAATGCAATTGTTGAACAATCAATGAAACTACAAGTATTGAGATGCGAAAGCTATATATATATACTTATATATTGTGGAAAGAGCGATGCGAGCGCTGTGGCTTGGCAGATTTTGAAAGCTTTGCTGCGTTGGCCACAAACCCAGGAATAGCTTTCAAAAATAAATGAGGAAAATATAGAGGAACTGAAGACATTATACAAGTATTAAACTATAATTAAAAGTGAGGAAAATATAGAGGAACTGAAAACTTATACTAAACATTATATTAAATTACAATAAATAGTTACAAGCTAAACTGCAAGATAGCTTTGAATAACAAATGCAAAAGTCTTGTTTCAACATTAAGTAATTAATATAATTACTGAAAAACACTTCAAAGACATTATTGAAAACCTTTACTTTCGCAACGAAAATGTCAAATCTTGATATTTACGAAAATCTACATATTTGTATATAGTTTTTTAAGCTATTTGCGGAGAAACAAAAACCCTTACAATTTAAAGACTAAAGCTCATGTTAGTCGTTTTTGCCAGTGTATTAACAAAAAGCAGTGCCCTCAGTATAGAAGGCGTTTGATTTCTTCTTTTTGCTCTTCGTGGTCTAAACTGGAACCACCATATTCCAGCAGGCTCCTACTTATTAAGCTTGCGTTGAAGGATAATTGGAGGACTCCAAAAATTGCTTGCAAGCAAAACAAACAAAAAAAAGGGCAAACAAAATCGAAAATTTCATGAACCATTTCTTTCCAGAGACTAATAAAATAATAAATAGTGCGAAAAAAATCGAAGGAGATATAGCTTTTCAACGGTCAGCTAAGGAAACACTCGCCCTGCCAGCCAACGGCAATGAAGGATCCTGATTGACTTGCTCATTTAAATAAAAAATATATTCATATATTATTTAAATTGGATATAGACTGACAACTTTATATATGCACTGCATATATCCCTTCAATTTGTTTTCTAAAGACTCATCTGGTGAATTAATGGCTTATCTCTGGCGCCCATCCTTCGCTTTATAGTTTTGAAGACAATGTCAGAAGATTGAGACGAACTCGTATGCGCAATATGGCCATCAGGTTAGTCGCTCGCTCTAAGCCGCTTAACGAGCTGACTTTTAATGCTAAAAGTGTTAAGCTGGATAACAGAACGACCCCACGCGGCAGCGCGCTGAGCAACCTCAGCATCTGGAGCAGAGTCACCACATTTATGTCCCTGGCCACGTTTCGGGCAAGGCGCTTAAGGCTTAAAAGCGTGAAAAAAGGACAATAAAAAACAACAAAGCGGGCGAGTAGAAGGAGAAGTACAAGCAAACGAGTTGGCCAAAGCTAAAGCCAAACGACAACAGCGCGCTGGCCATATTGTGAGCTCAGAGTTGGAGGCGCTTATCGGTCAGTTAGCAGCCAGCGGTCGTCGTCATCATCTCTACCCCCATCCCTGCCTCTGCCACTTTCCATATCGCCCCACGCCTGGGTCAGCATGGCTGGCTACTGTTGTGGCTGCTGCTGCTGCTGCTGCTTTCTGCCTGGCCTGGCGTTATCAGCATGTGTCCGTTCGTCTGACCGACTGCCTGTCTGTCCGTCTGTCTGTCCGTCCGTGTCCGGCACTGCCACAACTGACAGCAGCATGAGGGACGCAGCACCCACTAATCTGTAGCCGCGCTCCGTGAAGAGTAGATCAGGTGCAGGAATAACAAACACGAGCAAACACGCACAAAGGGATGTCCGTCCACCGATTGGTGTGATAATCCCAATATCAGGCCTAACGCCTCTGTAGAGCATGTCTGAGGGTGAATGCAATTAAATGGATTGGATTTCAACAAAATTTGCAAATTTGAAACTCAACTTGAATTTGAAATGCATCATCTCAATTTATTTTCTATAGCTCATTTAGATTTTTGGCCAGAGATGTTGCGACCCTTGTCCAATACTATCTTATAGGCTAGAATCGAAGTAAAGTAATTATAAATAGCTATGCCAGTAGTGCATCCTTTCAAGTCCTACGCTTTTCTTTGTTAAAATGAATAAATGATTGAAGCTAATTCTCTTTTTACACGGTAGATTGTTTCCAAAATTGGTATGCAGAAATAGTTGATTGGTTCCTTATCTCAAAAACCTATTAAAATCAGTGAAAAACCAAGGACTTATGTTTATTGTATTTAATCACATATATAATGTGCATAACAACCGATATAAGAATGGTTTCTAGCTGTGTTTTTTTATTTATTTATTTAGTGTTATTTTGAAAGATACTAATTCTAATAAAATTTTTAATAATGTTTTCAATTTTCAAACCGTTTTAAATCAAAACCGTGTAAAAATAGAATTAGTAATATTGAAATATTGAACCACTCTTATTCTTTTTCTCAACGTTTTAGGCGCTTACAACCACACATATATGTATGTATGTTTGTGTGTCCGAAGCACATTTGGCAAAAAAAAAAAAAAAATAAAATTATAATAATAATAATGCACATACTTGCGAGTTCATGTTTGCAAGTAAAATTGTTGCTAAATAACGAAACTGATTCAAGTGTACAGCAGTTACCTCAGTGCCGTGTCGTAAATCATAAAAAAATTGCTCATAAATCTGACCAACAACGGCAACAACCAGGGCCACAAAAGTAGGAAAAACAGCAACTGTCATCATTTCACAGACGAGTGCGGCCCAAGCCGAAGCCGAAGCCGAAGCGGAAGCCCAAATGGTGGACGCGGGTCAATAACTTGACGGCGATGCCATTTCATACTAACCGAAGCATGAAATGAATGGAGTTTGGCCAGACGATGGCGACAAAGACGACAACGACGACAACGACGACTTGGCTGGACTTATGTGCGGCCGGGCTCAGGGTATTAATTTTATTAGAAGGAAGCTGAAAAAGTGCACGCCATTCTTAAGCGGGTCGAAAGTTTCGTGGATATCCAAAGATAATCGAATGACTTGCATTCAGACGATTGAACGGCTTGAGAAAGAAAAGGAGTTCGCTGGAGCAGAAAGATAAATCCTGGCCCCGAGTAGATGTGCTGACAAGGAAGTAAGCAACAGAACAAATGCTCACAAATGTCCCAATCACATAAATTTCAGTAAAGATATGCCACAAATATTGCATTAATGTGTGATGCGCAAGAATTGTCTTTTCTTTCATTCAACTTTTTTAAATACGTATACAAATATAAATAAATAATAATTTAAATTTCTAAAATTGCAAGGCCTCTTCAACGTGATTTTCTTTGATTACATTTCCTTTTATTGCTCGTAGTTTTGGGTTTTCTAAATGTTTACTTTTAATTCAAGGCAAACATTTTTGTGCCTAGAGATTTATCATTATGGGGATCCAAAGAGTCTGACCTGAAAGTTGTTTGGCTCAATAAAAATATGCAATCGAGATTAAGATTTTGACTTAAGTTCGCTTTCGATAAAAATTAAAGTGCACACTCTTTCGTTAAACATTTTCAAGCCTCATATTGAATTCAATTGCAGTTTTTAAACAGATCTGTTTTCTATTTGAAATTCGTTTAAGAAGTGATGGTATTTTTTAGTGTGCTTCTTTTTGAAGGAAAGAGCAAGCCTTTCTTGATGGATTAGTTTAATACCGACGCTGCTTAGAGACTGGCTGCAGCTTCAAACTGAAGACAACTAAAGTAATGAAATGTATATAAAATTCAAAATTTAAAAAAAGGCAGCTTCTGAACTTAAAAATTATTGAACACAATAAGTTAAAAAGAATAAATATCTTGTTTGCAAATAAATGTTTTATTTAATGCCGCGAAATGTTGAGATTCGGGAATGGAGAGTGAAAAATCAATATGAATCTGAATCTGAATCGATTCGTTTT